AAGCATGTGTTGATGTTCCAGTTCTTACTTAGTCAATCTTTTCTGCATGTGCATGTGTTCCACTAGTTCACTTCTTCCGTTTGTCAAGTTCAAGCATGTGTTGATGTTCCGGATCTTACTTGGCCAACCTCTTCTTCATATACATGTGTTCCACAAGTTCACTTCTTCCCTTTGTCGAGTTCAAATATGTGTTGATGTTCAGGTCTTACTTGGTCAATCTTTCCTTCATGTGCATGTGTTTCACTAGTTCACTTCTTGCTTTTGTCAAGTTCAAGCATGTGTTGATGTTCCGATTCTTACTAGGTCAATTTATCCTTCATGTGGATGAGTTTCATTAAGTTCACTCCTCCCTTTTGTCAAGTTCAAGCATGTGTTGATGATCCGGTTCTTACTTAGTCAATCTTCCCTTCATGAACATGTGTTCCATTAGTTCACTTCTTCCGTTTGTCAAGTTCAATCATGTGTTCATGTTCCGGTTCTTACTAAGTCAAGCTGTCTGTCATGTGCATGTGTTCCGCTAGTTCGCCTCTTCCTTTTGTCAAGTTCAAGGATGTGTTGATGTTCCAGTTCTTACTTGGCCAACCTCTCCTTCATATGCATGCGTTCCAGTAGTTCACTTCTTCCTTTTCTCGAGTTCAAACATGTGTTTATGTTCCTGTTCTTACTGAGTAAATGTTTCCTTCATATGCATGTGTTCTGCTAGTTCGCTTCCACACTTTTGTCAAAATTCAAAGCATGAGTGGATGTTCCGGTTCTTACCTTAGTTGCTCTTTCTCTAAAGGATGGGTGACCGAAATTGGGCTGCTATTACGGGGTGATGACTTGATTACGACTAGAAGACTCTTGCCTTCCCTCTCTCTCTCTCTCTATCTTTCCTTCCTTCTCTCGCTCTCCCCCTATCCCTTTCCCTTCTCTCTCTCTCTCCCCCTCTTTTTTCCCCTCTCCTTTCCCGCCTGCCTTTTCTCTCTCTCTCTCTTCCTCTCTCTCTCTCTCTCTCACATCATCATCTGGCCCTCTCTCTCCCTTCCCCTCACTTAGCTTATATCTAACCCTTCTTCCCCCTCACTTGGAAAACATTACCAGGGCATGAGCGGAGAACGAAATCAGACCTCACTTGGTGGAGAAAGAGGACAAGGGGAGGGTAGCCGGTCCCTTGTGCCACCAAGAAGGCAAGAAAAAAGACGTCCAAAAAAAAGGAAGTGGAAGAGGCGGAATCCGGAAGAAACCATAAGTTGAAAGTGAGGTCAATTTGACTCAACCATTTCCTCGACGGCATGACTATGAGAAGAGATGGGCTGATTGAGCAACAAGAAGGGAACAAAGCACAGCCAAAGAGCATGGAAAAAATAGGCATGCGGGAAGGGCTATGTATTGACCCCCAACAGGGGACATTGTATGAATCTCCTTGCTTGTATGGGATTGTGCAGGTGAGTAATGGCTAGAAATGCCTTGAGCGGGATAAGGGCGAGAGGAACTGGGCATGAAGAGGGAAAGGAAAGAGGGACAAATGGGCTATGGGACCCTCGACATAGAGCCAATTCATGAAAATGACTTTTGCACTTGAGGCTTGGAAGCAGCGTTGTCGAGCGGGGAACCCCGGGGGCAAAGCCGGTGTTAGGCTGCGGACCCCGGACCCCCGCCGCGGGGTTCATCCAACCCGTGCCACCGCCGGACGACCCCCGCCTCCGCCCAGCCCCGGGTACCCCGCCGCCTAACCCCGCAGGCCCGCTACCGGCCCCGCAACCCCGCCCCC